TCTATGCAATTCACTCTATGCACTTCACTCTATGCACTTCACTCTATGCACTTCACTCTATGCACTTGACTCTATGCACTTGACTCTATGCACTTCACTCTATGCACTTCACACTATGCACTTGACTCTATGCACTTGACTCTATGCACTTGACTCTATGCACTTCACTCTATGCACTTCACACTATGCACTTGACTCTATGCACTTCACACTATGCACTTCCCTCTATGCACTTCACTCTACGCGCTTCACTCTATGCACTTCACTCTATGCACTTAACTCTATGCACTTGACTCTATGTACTTCACTCTATGTTGTTGGGTCAGAGGGCTCCGCACGGAAGAACCCTTCGTGATGCTTTCGGGAACAGTCTCAAGCACAGCCACCCTGAACCTTGAAGCCTGCCCTGGCAACAGAATGACGACAACACGTGTGATGAGGACAGTAGCAGCAACAAAAGCAGCACCAGTTAAAACTCTGCCACCTACCCGAAGCCCTCAATCCCTCAAAGCCACTGCGGTTGGCTGGGGGGTGGGGGCAGAGCGGGCATGCACTGAAACCCTTTTTTCTCTGCCACCTATCAATCCCTCAAAGCCACTGGGGGGTGGGAAGGGTGGGGGGTGGGGCAGAGCGGGCGGTGCTCTACCCGAAGCATGTGGAGAGGGGTGGGGTCGGGTGGGGGCGGGGGGTCATTGGGGTTGGGAGGGGGGAGGGGGGGGGGATGGGACTTCATTTCAGGGCTTGAGGGTGAGGGGAGGCGGGAAGGGGTGAGGAACACGGAAAAATTGAAGAAGACACTTTGGGTCTTCACTGACGCCGCCCCGCTGCCGCTGGGGTCGGCGGATAAGATAGGGGGGTATGCTCGGATTGGGTCGCATCAGCTACGGTCGCGCAGCGCGCGATAGATTCTCCGAGAGTGTTTTGCTCGCGAGGGAGCTCCGACAGTTTGATCATCACGTGTTGCTTGTCGGAGGGTTGAAAGATTTAGCATGGTTTCAGGCGGCGGGGTTGGCGCCTGTTGTAGCATGTGGAATGTTTACGCCAGCTGCTCACTGCTCAGAAGACTATCTGCGAAATTTGCGTCAGCTATGCACTAGCTGCGGGTATCTGCGGGTCTTTGCTTTTGACTTCATGTTCTCGATATCCTCTTTCTTTGGCCTTCTCCCGTGATAGCCGGTGTCAGGGCAACCCTGTAAAACACATACGCGCCAGCCCGCGATGTAAAAGAAGGCCGCGCAAGAGGTGCTGATCTCATGTGTAATGATTCGAGTGAATGTCGCGAACCGGTGGCATGCTTGAGGAGAAGAACCACGTGCTCGTAACTGGCATCGATACAGGACGCTGTGCTATGCCCGTACGCAAGTGCTGGACGCATGCTGTTGACATGGTATGATGTGCTAGGCAGCCCTGCGGAAATGCGTGCAGTGGAAGATGCTGTTAGCAGGACAGCTTGGCTCACAGATGTTCCGCTTGAAGACTGTTGAAACATGTTGAAACCTCACTCCTCACTCCGCTCCAGCAATGTTGACTCCATGGCATTGCAGGATTGTGTCCCACGAGTTGCAGTTGCCGCTTTTTGCCTTCGAGGAGCTCGAGCCTGAGAATGCATGCTCGCAGCGAAAGACAGTCATCGGTCGAGCTTTTTCTTTATTCTGGGTATTTCTGGGTACGATTCGTGGAAGAGCCAAGGCGAGGACAGAGCCTCGCTGACATCTTTGACCCCATCCTCGGAGGTCCTGTGGGAGCGTTTTTGATTGAGACCGCAATCCCGACCTTGCAGTGCCTTGCAGTGCCTTGCAGTGCCTTGCAGTGCCTCGCAGTCTCAATTTGCAGGGCCAAATGTCTTCACAGTCACGGACTCACGCTTGCGTGCTTGGAGCTCAGAGTGGAGAGATCTTCCCGAAACCCGGAAAAGGTTGGTCTTGCAATCTGCTCGGGTTGCTTATCTTCCGCCATGCATGTTGAAGAGCATTGCTACGCCACGGCGGTGCATTCTTCCCCCTAGCTAACCTTTCATTGGCTCGAAGATCACAAACAATAAGTTTCGTGTCGCGTGTGCTGGGCCCCAGCTTCGGGAAACTAGATCCCCACTCACTCAGTCGTTTCGAGGTGGCCGCTCAGCTTACACCTCTGCCTAGCGCCGAGCCTTTCGACGAGTCAGTTGGACGCTTCAATGAAGCGGAGAAGGATTGGACTGAACCTGCGCCTGTCATGGTTCAAGCACAATTTTGGGCATGCTGCAGGAGATTCCCGTGCAGCAGAACTCTTTCTTTTCTGAGCAGCACAATCTCCAGATGCCGTGGTCTAAGGGTGTCGAGCGGCTGCTGCAAGTCTCGAACCCCCAAATCTGACAGGCTTGCCATCCAACCTCGATGGAACGAGAGAGGCCGGGCATGACAAAGCATGAACGCCAAGTAGCAAGCACTTTCTAAGTATCATGCTGTCACATGCTGTCACAGATTACACGAGTTTGCCAGACTCTCTTTACTTGTGCTCCTGAGGCGTTGATCCCTCACGCGCGCGGATTCGAATTATCTTCGAGGCAAGCCTCAACAATCAGCAGCCTCTGCAAAAAACAAGTGTCGTGCTTCAGATCGAAATGAGCAAGGGTCAAAACTATGGTAATTGCAACTTTACCTTGGGAGGACATTTGCGTGCTGAAGGTTCGAAAGCCCTGTAGAGCGACGTAACACACCGACATGACGCCCCTCATAGTAACCATAGCAGAAGCATCAGTCCGTCCAACACTATCATTCAAGAAGTCGGATGCTCTTGGTGGTCGTATTCTTAACACTTCTAAGCAACAGTTGCCGGTTCGTGGCTTTGCTGTCGGCTGGCCCGGAACACGAACCGCGGGGTTGCAATTGGCCGTAGCAAAAAACCATCAAGAATCCTGTAGCGTGACGGGAACTCCGAAAAGCGACGACCTAGGCCCGACAACTAGAGTTGACCAGGTTCATTCTAGATGCAACATACAAAAAATCGCATGTCATGTATCGTGATCATCATGATAAGCAACACCTGCGCTGACTTTCGGTAGAAGCAGGATGCTGTTCGCTCAAACGTAACGCAACGACTGGCCGGTTCTGCATCGCAGGACATCGTGACAAAGGATGATCCATTGGCTGTTATTCGAATCTTCCCTGCACCTTGGCATGCGATCGATCAGCAGCAGGTCATAACATCGGTCAGCGTTGTTTTGATCATTTGCTCGACGAGGTTGCCTTGCGAGACATCTGCTTGCATCTCAGATTGGCTGAGCTGTTTTCTGAGCATCAACTTCCCTCATCCGTCGCCCTTGTCAGACTTGCAGTCCTGCTCAGCCCCAGCCAGCCCCAAGCCAGCGACGTATTGCAGACATCTTTCCAGCATGATCTGCCACAGCCCTTTTAGCTTCTGAGTTTGCCAAACGAGGTATGAGCTTGCAACCGGATGACGAACTTCAGTGGCAGATGTTCCCGCCGGGAGCCGCGGGTGTCAGGTGCACTGGAGCATTCTAAAGAATTGCTTCCAGCTGCAAGTAGGCTAGCTGATCTTTGTGACCTGCATCGGCCGGCATGGGATGAGTTGAGACCATACTTTGAAGTTGGCACTCCCGCATTGTGTCCTTGCTTTGCGCATTCCCCTCAAGGCCCTTAACCGCTACTGGAACGATTCTGAAGTCTCAGTTCTGTCTTTGAGTGTAGACGTAAGAGATCTTGCAGAAAGGTTTCAAGTCAATGAATTGCTAAGGGCAGACACCGGCCTTGGGGATCTTAAGTCGGATCCCTAGAGCCTGCTACAGCCTTTGCCTTGGCCTTTCTGTGGTGTGAGCATTGCAGGCCTGCAGGCGGTGGTGCTGATCCCCTGGACAGCATACCTGTCGGCTTTGTTTGCCAGATCCTCGAAATCGACCGGCTGGAACTCGATGGACACTCATGCAGCGCGAGGCCATACGCTTGCAGCCGGAGATGATGTCCAGGTCCTTGCAAGTGGCGAGGCGCAAGAATCCTCGGCCTTTGGGTACCTGCCATCTTAGTCGCAGCACTAGCTTCTCCAGGTGCTGCAGATAGAGCTGATGCAGCCTCTCCTCCGCAACACCGAATATGAACGGGCCTGAAACAAGAGCGGATGTGCCTGTCAAGCCAGACTGCCGCAAGCTGTAGTGCTGCGCTGCGAGCGCCTCAGGTAGTTTTGCTGCCTCCACGAATTGTTAAAGCTGGAATGGGTAGTCCGGATCCCTACATCGGGGCAGGGACAGAGGCTTGCGCCGGCTTATGTGTCAATGAGAGCGATAATATGTTGAGGCACTGCATTCCCAGGAGCTCTTTGGGAGGCCCGTGGACCCGTGGGCAATTCAACGTTGGAAAGTCGGATGAACGTTCAAGGCGTTCAAGACTTGTCCTGTGAGGGTTGGCCAAGTGAGGAGGGCCAAGGCAACAAGGATCAGAACCCGAGATTCAAGTTGCGGTACTCTTTCGCAGTTTTACACCAGATCCAATCAATTGTTGTAAAGTAAGCATTGAGGAGTACACCTTCACCACTGGCATCCCCAAGGCATCGAACGCCAGGCAGCGCGAAACCCTCATGGTTGACGGTAGCATTCAGTGGCCAGCCCTGCACTGTCCGGAGGCTTTCCATCGCCGTCAGCAGTGTCCTCGTACTCACAAGAGCTGGAAAGTGTCAGAGCCACGTGATTGCCTTGCTTCAGGTTGCAGCTCGGAGGAAGAGTGTCAGCGGCAGCATCGGCCGCAGTTTGACAATTTTGCGCAATTGCTACTTCTACATGTATCTACATGTCTCATCACTAAGGAGACGTTTGGTTAGTGAGCAGGGGATGGAGGACACTTGTCGGCTCTTGCTTGAGGCTTCTTTCCTGCTCACTTGTGATTGTTCATGGACACTTGGTGTACAACTTGGGGTCTCCGCTTCGAGAGTTTTACACGTTGCTGCCGGAGTATAAGCTCCTTCAACCGACAGCCAAGACTGGAAGTATCAAGTGGACTCTGACCAGGGTACTTTTCACTGCAAGCTCGCTGCCAGGGCATGGGGTCGAAATTCTGGGCCTAGGCCCTCGGCTTTTCTTAGCCTTATTGGGTTGGCTGGAGGGGAAGGCCGATTCAGCTATGCAAATCTTGCTGCCTGTTTATGCTGAATCTGCGCTTCGAACATCTTCGAACTTCTGCTCCGTCCGCCACCGATTGCATTCGTCCATCAGTTCAGGAAGGCCGAGACCGTTGTACCATCTTGGAGATTCTGCGTGGGAATGCTGGATGGCTTGAAGGTATGTTTCTGAAAGCTTGTATGTAGCAACTGTACCTTCATTGTACATTGTTTCACCTGCTCGTGACTTACTGACCGACAGACGGTTTTTTCAGGACTCGTTTCTGCTGCGCAGTCCGTCTTGTCGAAGTGTAGCCGGGAATCGGCAGGATCTTGCAAGCCGAGCACGCTGCTTCGCAGCGTGGTTTCGCTGCAACCAAGACCCAGTCGTACAGGCAAGGAGCTTCTGCTCACGAAGATCTTGGCAGGTCTCTGTGATTAGCGTTTTCGCTTGACAGAAGCATTGTCAAATCCCTGATGATGGCACGTCTGCATCTCAGATTCCAGCGTGTGCGGTGCTTGCAGGTAGCAGGCATGGGCACCAATGCATGGTTGGGCTTGGGCTGCTAACGGTCACTGTAAGTCCACGAGTACTTCACCACAGCATCCAACGGTTGGTGCAGGACAATTAGAGCCCTAGAAGCCTTCTGGTTTGGAGAAAGTCATTCCAGCCGTTGCTGTAAGGCAGTGGTGCGACCCTCATGGTAACTGGGCCGCTCGGCACCGTCTCTGCGCACGTGTGTGCGAGTGCGAATGTGTGTGTGTGTGTGGTGAGATCTTTCGCATTGTTGTTGGATTCTCATTTGTTTTTGGCCGGCCTCGAAAGACAGGAGCCTTCCTGGTCTCCGCCACGGAGCAAGGAGGAGCTTCCTCATTCCCTTGCCAAGAGTCAGCCCAGTTCTAGATTCTGGAATTCTTGGGTCTCGCTTTCCTTGAGGACATCCAGCTGAGTGGTGTCCCAGATCAGGCTGTTTCGGAGGCTGTGCAGAGTCCAAAACTTCCCAAAGCCTGACGTTTCCTTGAACGTACGGGTACCAACTCATACAGCCGTCGGTGGTGCCGACTCTACCCCAGGTGCAATCAATCTATTTGCCTAGTTGGGCTCGAGCCTTAATTTGGTGCTTAGAGGGCTAGAAGCTTCATCTGCGGGCCGTGCATGACATGATTCAACCTTGCTTTACCTCCACGCCTGCAAGGTGTACATCGTGTCCTTAGCAGCTTGGGTACAGGGCACGTTCGCAACTCTGCGGGCAGCATGGTGGGTCAAAGCCTGAGAATCTCTCACTCTCGAAGTCGTGGACCCTCCGTGCGCTGAAAGGTGAGCGACTTATACACGCAGAGCCGCGACTTTGACCCGTACGTCGCGCAGGCGCCCGTGGCTGAAGACAGCATGCACGGGCACTGAGCGCAGCTGCACTTGCAAGGCATTGCGAGGCGCAGTAGGAAGATTTTTGTGTTCGGGCCGACCGTGTGCTCGCAAGCTGCTGTGCCTTGATGGAACATGATGTGCCACGGCATGAGGGCAGCCGCGGCTTACCACTCAAAGCCTGCGCGGTTGCCATGGTGGGGCACTTGTGGTTTCGATGACGAGCTCATACAGCAGCCCAGATCTAGTATTGATCCAGTGACTCCAGGCCATCCCATTGTTGGTGGGGATCCTTGGCAAGGGTCTTAGAGACGTCGGGCACTCCAGAAACAATGAAAGCCAAGCCGTGAAGCAAGACAGTACTTGCAGCATCTGGCACAGCGCAATCGTATCACAGTTATTTCTCCTTGTTGCGGACCAGTTGTGCCCAGCAAAGAATGCCGCAGCGTCGCCAATTTGCTGCACCAAAATCAGGTGCACTATTTGCAGCTCCAGTTTTTCGGCTTGTTGTCCGGGTCTGAGCCTGCATTCGCAGAAGAGTGCCGGGCCTGCACTGCGCCTGCACTATGCCCACCCTGGCCCACCCCTGCCCATCCTGCTGACAAGGTGCATGGTCTGTGGAGCCACAGCGCAGGCAGTCAGCAAGGGGCTGCAAGCTAAGTCGGAACACCTGTCTCGTTGCAGATCAGGATGGTATGTGAGCTGTTTGCGGCGCCCGCCCCCTCCACCTCCCCGCCGTCCATGCGAAAAGTCAGCTGATGTGTCTCGCAGACACGTTGAAACGGCAAAGTATCAGAGAAGACCGAAACGTGTTCGGTTTTAAGTGTCAGTGTCGTTGCATCGCCAAGATCAGACTGCAAGGCTGACGATGCACCTGCCCAGCATACGATGTTCAAGGGTTCGAAGCAATGTTTGACCCTGCAAAGTGATCCACCCAAATCTGCTCTTGAGGCTCTGGTGGCCCAAGCAACAAAGAAGTGGACCTTTCATGGGCCTTAACAGCCTTTTGAATTTTGCTGGGGAGACCAATCTTGGAGACCTTGGAGACCACC